GTGGGGTCTCAAATATTTTTGAGGTTCCTTACCCCCCTCCCTTCTACCATTTTTACGCGGGGGGGGGGGGGGGGGTAGGTGCGAGTCCCACATCTTTTTCTTCTTCTTCAGCATTCCAAGACTTTGAGGTTCATTGCCTTAAATATCACTAGCCTTCACTCATCTCTCTTGTTGGCCTTCTCTTTCCAGTTGTTGACCTCAAGTGTTTGTTGATCTGTCTGGATATTACTTCTCCGTTGTATTCTTTGGTCTGCCTTGTATACGACCATTCATCTTCCTTGTGTATACAGTTTTACTTCTCTGTCATCTGATATTCAGTCGGCTTTGTGGCTAAGTCGATGCGAGCGCTTCGTAAAGCCGGGATGCCGGGTTCGATCTCAGCTGCGGGCCATGCGCCTTGCGTTGGTTTCAACAGTGGTATCAAGAAAGCCGACCGCCCAGGAAGCAATGGCAAACTACTGGACGTAAATTTGGGGTTGGTTCTGCTATGTCCTTTAAAGGATACGCAACTAACCATCTGATATTCTCTCAATTTGCCCCAATTATTTCAGTAAATTAGCTCTGACGATGCTAGTGATCAATGGTGATTTTAGCAGATTCTGAATTTCGTTGTTGCTTGTCACTCTACATTCACCGCTGTTTGTATCTGATGGATGTAAAGATTCGTCGTAAGACGAAAACTGTAAAAAGGTTTCCTTCTTTTAGTTGCGCCGCAAGTTTTCAGAGCCGTTCAAAACAACTGGTGAGTCCCAACACGTATAGGGGTGTATGTACATATCTGAGCTTCTGGCCCCATGTTTTGCTTTACTGATGAAGATGTAGTCAGGCTCCCCCCCCCCCTACCCTCAGCCCCTTAGGTTTTCTTAAATGTGTGTCTATAATATTTCTAGGGTAGGAAGAGGGGCGGCGTTGATTGAACTGAGCACCACTTCTCTTCACAAAGAAATTTTTCTTTGCTAAGTAAGAGCTGTTGTTCGTCCATTGCGAGTGATGAAGGTCACTTTTCGTCCAAAGTAGCAATCATCGGTGATTATGAGTACGAAGTAGGGCTGTGCCGAATAGTGATTTTCACTATTCGGCCGAATGCGAATAGCGGAACCAACTATTCGGCCGAATACGAATAGCGGAACCAACTATTCGGCCTAATACGAATAGTGTACCATCATCATCAGGTTCCGTGCCGACTGGCGTGGGCGATTATCATTAGTTCTCGTTATGCCTAGTGGCACATGAGGCTTTAGAGAGGACTTTCCATGCTTTCCTGTCCTGTGCAATCTTCAATGCCAATTTCCATGTCAAAGGACCACACTCAGGTCACTTTCCATCGTTCGTCTCCATGTTGTTTTTGGGCGCCTCTTTTTTCTCTTTCCCTCTGGTATCCATGTGAGAGCTGTTTTGCCAGGTATATCAGGATTCATTCTCATAACGTGGCCAAGCCATTTCCATCTTCTCTTGGTTATCATACTGTCTAGAGTTTCTTGGTTTGTGACTTGAAGTAGTTTAGTGTTTGAGATTGTATTTGGTCAAAAAAGTTTGATAATTCTACCTAGACATGTGTGGTGGAAGGTGGACAGCTTGTGTGCATCCTTTCTGGTCATTCTCCAGCATTCTGCTCCATAAAGAAGAACTGGCAAAATGATGCTCTTGTAGAGTCGGAGTTTTGTTCCTCTGCAGCAACTGTTGGATTTCCAGATTTTGGCGATTATGCTGCGCCACAATCTACGATCACGCTCAGGATACACCAGTTCGTGTGCTGACACACCTCCATGCCATTCAACAAGACTGTCAAGCATCTTCTCTCGTTGTCTTCCTCTATCCCACTTTCCACAGATCTTTCCAGTGGTCACCACATTTTCCATTTTCCCTCTTCTCATAACATAGCCGACAAAGGATAACTGTCTCCTCTGATGTCTGTGATTATTTGTCTTCCGACTCCCGCCCTTTTCAAAACCTCTTAGTTGCTTTTTTTTTTGGCTGCCCAAAATATTTTAAGCATTGTTCTGTAAAACCACATTTCTGAGGCCTCAAGAAATTGTACGGCCTGTCTACCGATTGTCCAGGACTCACAGCGCATTACCTTTGAATATAAGTATTTACTTGAAGAGGCTAACAGTTACTATTGTACAGACCACATTTTCCACTTTAAAATTGCAGCCAAAATGTAATCACAACCTTACATATCCGCTGCAACCACGAATACAGATGGAAGATATATCTAACCTCGTGATAAACACAAGGACAATTTTTAGCATGCGTCGATTGGCATTTTATGCAGTATGATACACTTCGAGTGTAAAACAAGGAGAAAAACTCTTTTCGACTGTGGCGAGGAAAGACAATTTAAATTTTAACTTTTAGGTATCTTCATGCCTTCTTTAATAATATCACAATTTATAGCCGACTTTTCTTGATTTTCGCCTTGGCACCCCTGGCATAAGCACCCAGTTTGAAAACCTCTGCTGTAATGTCTAGGTCGAGTCAGCAGGCAAAGACCTTGCCAGCTGCTGTACCGGGTCGCAGTTTTCCCCGCTACGACAGACTTAGACAACAGCAACTATTGTATTAACCAGCGAGTTATTTCAGTCCATCGCAGTGTATGCAGAAACGGGTGTAAGGTAACCACTATTCTTACTCGGCCCGACCGCAAGTATTCGACCGAATACCGAATAGTTATGAGGTCCATTATTTGGCCCTGAAGCGAATATTCGGTACAGCCCTAGTACGAAGGTGGCTGATTAGTCCAATAGAGAGCACACGCGCGCACACGCACATAGTAAGTCAATTCACAAAGACCCTTAGTTGATCATATTTTTTTTTTTTGGATCCAGAAACGACGAGTTGTAAACCCTTGGGCTCGGTAGTATGTATAACTTAGCTGGCGCGCCTGGCAATTGACTATTTCGGGAGACGTTCACCATTTGTGGGTCAAGTTTAGGATTGCGACGGTCTGAATAAAGCTGTGACAAACCTGAAGATCTAAGCTATTAAAAAACGAGAGGGAACATGGTGGAAGGGCATGGAAGACTGTCAGTGGTTAAATTTAACAGGAATGTAGAGGACAGATGTATTGGAAGAACATGGTCGCCAGTTCGACTTGTCGTAACACATAATGATGATAATGTGGTGTTTAAAAAAAATGTAAAGAGATCTATGGGCACAGAAAAACGAATCAAATATTCTTTCAAAACGTCAAAGGGAAATATCTTGCTTATAACAGAATATGACAATGTGAGTGCGTGTTTTTGTGTGTAAGAGTGCGAGTTGAAATAAATCAACCACATTTAAATAAGGTAATTCCTCCGAAGTCGGAGTACATCTGCCGGAGAGGCGGGGAACGAGAACTGCAAACAAATAAGCCAGTAAAACGGATGTACACGCAAAACTCAGGTCAAGGTAAAAGCCAAAAGTCCATTTTGGACGAACAACCGCGACTTACCGCCGGAATTCACAGCCGGTGAACAAGAAGAAGAAGAAGAAATAAGGTAAAACATTTTTATATCAATCAATTAATCCTTATTGCACCCACAGGCAAATAAGGCAGAGACGAACTGTCGCCACTCAGTTAGCTCCAAAGCCATCCTCTTTATCTCCAGTTTTGTCCTACACGTAGCCCTGAGTTCAGCTTCAAAGGTTGCTCTCCAAGTGCCACTGAGCCTGCCTCTTCCTAGCTGTCCTTGTGGTGTCCATTGCATTAACTGTCTGCTGTCTCTCTTTCTTCATTTCGAGGACATGCCCAATCCACTTCCATCTTCATTTTTTTTTTACTTCTAAATTTACATTATATATATATATATATATATATATATATATATATATATATATATATATATATATATATATATAATATACCCAAGGGACAAATCGAAGACAGATTCTCCGTGTAGGCTCCAAGGTTCCATTTTGATTGGGGGGGGGGGGCATACCCACTATCTTCCTAACAAGAAAGATGTAAGAGAGGACTGATAATGTGTTTGCTGAAGTCGGATGTGTTGAGTCGAAAAGGGCAGATATCGAAGCCTAGCTGTAAACGCAGAAGAAGAAGAATGAGAAGGCGAGAGAACCAGTGGTGGCCTGCGATCATGAAAGCTGAGTGGGATTGTAACACCAGAGAGAGAGGCAAGGCTTGCTAACAAGAAGTTACTTTGGGGCAAAGAAGAATTGTTGTTGTTTTGTTGTTGTGTTGTTATTCTTATTGTTCTTCTTATTGTTATTATTTTTAGGAATGCAAAGAACGAACGAACAAACTTTATTTTCAAATTGTTAAGAACTGGGCCCACAGGCATGTATAATATTCTGCCCTTCCAGTCCAATTCTGGCATACAGTTATTCGTTTGGACGTCATTTCATAGTTAATTAAAAAAGAAAAAGAAGGAGGGGGATGAAAGAGAAAGAGCCAGAAGGTGAATCAGAATGAGGAAGAGGAAAAGGTGGACATGATGACGAAGGAGAAGAAGACAGGTGAAGAAGAACAATTATTTTCACTTTGATTATTATTATTGTTATTATGAACGCGAAGAAGTAGGAGGAAGGTTAGAGAACAAGCAAGAATGGGGATGAGACAGCTGACATGATGATGCAGGAGAAACAGAAACAAAACGGAAGATAAAGAAGAAGAAGAAGAAGAAGAAGAAGGGAGGAGAAAGAGCTAGAAGGTGAATGAGGACAAGGCGGACATCATGGTGAAGGAGAAGAAGACTGGGGAAGAAGAAGAATTATTCTTACTTCTATTATTATTATTATTATTTATTATTATTATTATTATGAACGCGAAGAAGGAGGATGGTTAAAGTATACGTAAGAAAGAAAATGAGAAAACTGACATGATGATGCCTGAGAAGAAGAAGAAAGAGAATTAGCAAACGGACATGAAATAGAAGAAGATGACAACTATCATATTAGGAAAAAAAACACCGATGCATGCCCTTCTAACAGCTGACACGATGACAAATTCCAGAGTTAATCTCTTTTCACCCACAAGTTACAGATGCACTTCTGCAGCCATGGCGCCAGCAGTAAAGATGGCGGGATCCAGCCCAGAGAGGGACTCGGTGGATTCTGACTCTGGGATGAGGGTCCTGGGAGCTGTCCAAATCAACATCGGGATCCTTGTTTTTGTGCTCGGGGTTGTTGACCTCATCCTGACCATGACGTCATATGACCGTGACCTGAAAAGTTACGGCTGGCACTACCATACTGTGGTCACCTTGACGACCTTGTCGTCTCCGCTGTGGAGTGGGTTGTGGGTGAGTACTTGTTACAGGCGAGTGAGTACTTTGTGTAAAATGTAGGCACTTAATGTCGTATAAGGATGAATACTTCTTAAATGTAGGTGAGTACCTGCTGGATATGTGGGTGAGTGTTTATTTCGACTTTTGGGGGAGTACTTGATCTGGCATGTTTGAGGGGAAAAAAGGGGGAGGGGAAAGGGGGGTTGTGCTCCGTGGGCATGTTGGTATAAGTACTTGTTGTAACATGTGGGGGCAGTACTTGGTAGGCATGTGGGTGAGTACTTGTAAAGGTGTGTGAGTACTTGTAAAGTGTGTGTGAGTACTTGTTGTTGCATGTGGTGTAATGCTTGATGGGCATGTGGGTGAGTACTTATTATGTCACTGGGAGGGGCATTTCTTGGATACCATCTTGGTTGTTGGTAGCGCACCTGCTAGTTGCAACTGACTACCACCCCCCCCCCCCCTTCCCCAAGTGGATCCTTTATCCGATCCTGATGAAACACTTCAAAACTGTTTGAGACAGACAGACACAGACAGACAGACAGACGGACGGACGGACGGAAAAATAGACAGACAGACAGACAAAAGAAAAAAGACGAAGGAGGAGGAAAGGAGAATAAAAACGTTTATTACAATAATTAGCAATGACAACACATACAGTGGAACTCCAATATTCGTCATAAGTGTATTCCTGATTGGAGGACGAATATTAAAATGTATAAATATCAAACAAGTTTTCCCAAAAGGAATTAACTAAAAATGGTTCAATCCTTTCTAAGCCACGAATTTTGCTAATCTTTTTTTTTAACACACACGGGCGCGCGCATACATTTTAATTACATAATAACCATTGTACTATAATTACTGCTCTTTTACTGTGACATAGATTTACTCGCCCCGATGATGTAAGTTAAGGAGCGGCTGGCCGAACGGTTAGACGCAGGGCTCTCAAGCGGGAGACGCTCGATTCCTCCATAAGGCTGGGGATTTTTTCTGTCGGGGGCACACACAAAAAAATCCCCACCTGCACAGTCGTGGCGACAGCACTAGCAATGCGGCCGTAAATCCTCAGGCTCAAAGACCAACCTGCCTACACCGCAAAAGTAGTATTATAAAGGCAGTAATCGGCAGTTGGCAGTTAGATGATGTAAGTTTACTTATAAGTTGCTCACTGTTTTCAGAAAGTATAAGAAATTTGCTTATTATTATATTGTTAACCATCTATGGGTAGATGGAACCCGTTAGCTTTGGACAGCAGTCCATCTAGGAGACGGCAAACTCCGAATTTAAACCCCCAAATTTAAGGTGGGCCAACGTGCTGAGAAACTGGATGGCCACAGGTGAGCTGGTCGTGAACTTTGGACGTCTGGTGGGCGTGCGGGGCGGCACCAGGCGTATGGACTCCTACGGGACATCAATTGCCCCCTTCCCTAGCAGGCAGGATATACTAGGGTGACCGGTCATTTCCTTCAGTACTCTATTTTTTTGTATGTATTTTAAAAAATTACATAGAAATCGTCACCGGAGCTACAGGGCACGTGCTCTGCGCTTGACACATTATTCAGCAATTAGTGAAGAGGGAGTGAGGAGGAGACGACGAGGGAATGGAGAGAGAAGAAGGCATAGAAATAGGAGGGCATGTGCTAGGAGAACAAGGCGAAAAGCAGAGAGATTGAGCTTTAATCATGCAAGAGTAGGATACTGGAACTGTCGGAGTGCTAGGCAGAGAGGTCCTGTACTGGAGAGGTTGATTTTTTATTTTGATGTCATCATGCCCCAGGAGCTAAACACAGACAGATATCATTACCCGGGGTACGTCAGTTATATAAACCCTGTTGGACAGGAGAGACATGGACAAGGTCTGGTGGTGAAGGAGGGAGTGAAGCATGTGGTGCTAGACTTGGGCCAGTGGAACCACAGTGGAAGAGAGGTTCAAGGGATACAGGTGGAGATTAGTGGCTTAAGTTGGAACCTCATAAATATATATGCCACGGTAGACTGTTTTGTCAGAAGTGAACAATGGGGCTGGCAAAAGGAATTGGAGGAGTTGCCAGGTGATAGGTTACTCATATGTGGGGATTTCAACGCGAGGGACAGAGAATTGGACAGCAGTGGAGAAAACCGTCAGGGAATTGCTCTTGCAGAGGCCATGGTTGACTCCGATATGGTCTGCATCAATGATGGGAGGGCGACTAGAATGGTAATGAGGTCTGGAGATGCAGACACAGCCATTGACTTGACATGTGTCTCTCATTCGTCAGTTTTAGATGTTAAATGGACCGTCCTGAATGACCATGGGAATGCTACTGGCACCATTAGTATCGGAACTCTCCGCTGGCTGCTGAAGATGGGGACGGAGCGTTTGTGGGAATTCTCCGAGTGATGTTTTGTCGGTTCTTGAATCAAATCAAATCAAATCAAGTTTACTTTACTCCTACATAAATCAAAAAATTTTTTTTTTACAAAAATTACTTTTTAGATGAAACAAAATTGTTATTGTTTTCCATTATGACATCAGGCAATGCCACATCTTTGATGAAATTTCCCCTAAAGATAAAATCAAGGAGAATAATCAATGACTGCATAGTAAGGAAACAATATATCCACCATGTTAATGATGCAATGTTTGTAAGATTGTCTAATTTTTCATAGTATACTTTTTGTCAAAATCATATCTCAGATCAAAGCAAAATGTGAAACAGTACAAATTAAATTTCAGTCACATAAACAATTAAAAGATACATAAATTTTAAATAACAAACATATACTTTTAGAACTCAATTAACACAATATATCCCAATTATAACCCTAAGGGTTGAACAGGATTCACTAGCACTTGTTTTTTTTTTTTTAAATAGAAATAATCCACTTTTTTTTTCTTCTTTTTTTCCGAAAGTGTCGAAACACATAGTCATGAAATGAATTGATACGCCCATTAATTATAGCGATGTTTCGGTGCCTCTTCTCGAAGAAAACCTACATTTTTGCCCAAGAGAACAGCAATTTCCTAATTTCAGCACTTGGAACAGGTCTGTCAACTTCTTTTTCCTCTTCTGATTAGTCGCCGGCCACACAAGAGGAGGGATGAATATTGTCTTTTCGTGCAATTATTGAAAAAAAATATTATTTAAAAAAAAAAAAAAAGTCGAATTTGAAAGATAACGAATATTGGCGTGTACGAATATTAGAGTTCCACTGTGCATCCACATTGAAAATAGAGTACTAAATTGGTTCTTTACATGTGTTCACACTCGCCCCTCCCCTTTCTCCCACCAACAGTTTTCTATTACAGGCGCCCTGGCCGCTTGTTTTTCCTACGGCAGACCCACAACGGTTCTCTACAGCGTAAGTATTGTCTTCCGCTCCAAGGATTCTCAAACTTTTTCGCTAGTGGCCCGCTGGTCGCGAGTTCCATTCTCCCATAGAGAAAGAATCCTGTTTTTGATTGTAATTTATCTGGTCCACCCAAGTCGATTGAATCTAAAATTGGTGCTAGATATTTTCCGGTAAGTAAAGGCGGCTAGAATAGTAATGACTGTGTTTCCCTTCAAGTGCCAGCTCATGAAAATGGATGGGGCACCGGAAACTGGAGGTTCAGATACCTTGAGGGCCCCCAACTCCCAAATTTTGAGTGGAAACTGTGGTGTGGGGGAGATTAACCATCCTTCGTCCACCTATCCATATTTAGTTCTCTTTTGTAAGTATTTGTTTATTCATTTCATACTGCTTCAGAAACACTATTATATTTATTTTCCACTCGGCACATTATTATTCTAATTAACATTATTTATTTTTATTATGCACGTAAGCAAACCTACTTCCCCGAGTGCTTTCTTTGTGTTGGTGCCCTTCGTGTATGGGGCATGCTTCAGATACCAAATATGCCCTAGTATTCTTCTTCTTCTTCTTGTTCACCGGCTGTGAATTCCGGCGGTAAGTCACGGTTGTTCGTCCAAAATGGACTTTTGGCTTTTACCTTGACCTGAGTTTTGCGTGTACATCCGTTTTACTGGCTTATTTGTTTGCAGTACTCGTTCCCCGCCTCTCCGGCAGATGTACTCCGACTTCGGAGGAAGACGTCAAGTCTATTTCTAGGTTGACTGTGGCCATTGTTTTGTGTGGGTCGAGATGTTGCCTTATTTGTGTGGTGTCCTCTTTGACTTTTAACAGGTGTGGCCCCCGGCATGTCGTCCTTAAGGCAGCTCTATGTAGAGTTTTCAGCCCTCAAGGGAAGGCAGGGGCAGATCATGGGCATTCCCCGCCATCCAAGGAGGCTTCCATAAATGCAGAGCCGACACATGATGCTCTGGTTCTGGGCTCACTCAAGGAATTGTCACGTCCTGCCCATGACTGCTTAACCTTACAACCGTGTATTGAGCTTCCCGCGCTACAAGGCTGCGCTCTCCGGAGATCAGCGGGGAGCAGCCCGCAGGTCTAGGACGTTTGTGGCCACACAAATAGGTACATTCTTTGTCATCTTACGTTAGACACCTTTAACGTTGTTTCAGCTGTGCCCTTAGCACGACAGAATGGGGAAGCAAAAAGCGTCAGGCGTGGCTCCACCTGTTTGGTTCCAACACTCGGGCGAGTTGGACCAGTGGATACGGACATTCGGACTTTTTCCTAATCGGTATGGATTATGATCGTCGGACTCTGAGCTTGCATGTGTGCCGTGGGGTATAACTTTGTCGGACATTATTTCCAAGCCAGCATATGAAAAGTTGCTGCCGTGGTGTACCTCAGCGCGGTGACGACGACACTGAGGATTGAGGATGTACGTAGGTAGGATCTTGCTGCTAGAAGTCGCCCACAAGAGATGTTACTCGTCTTGGGTGCGGGTAAATCTCTCGGTCAGGGTTGAGTCTCAGCAGCACAGTTTTGAATTCCCTCCCGAATTTTAACCAAGAGTTGTCATTTGATGGTACATTTAGCAAGCAACTTTGAGTTTTGTTAGACTTTTCACCCATGCGTTTAGGGGCGGGCTGGTGAGAGCCAGAAAGGACACTACACCTCTAGGGGCCGCCAGCTCCGAGATCCCCTGCCAACTCTGTTAATGCTCATTTGAGACATTATCCGTGGCGCACGACGGGGACGTGCAACAGGAGTCTTGCATGAGGTTCCGTAAAACCAGAACAGTGAAGGACTGGCGCCCGAGTGGGGTACGGAGTATCTCCTTATACACCTCACATCAGACTTAACTTTGCCTCATGCCTGTGACCGAAATCACCGCGCCACTGCCCTAGTATAAAGACGGATCGTTTCACAATCTGACCTAATCTCTGTTGCGACTATCGTCCCCGAGGACAGAGGAAGCAAAAGTAAAGAACCCTTTACCACTCCTTCATGCATACTGTGTATATAGGGCTAGTCCTATATTTTAGAGATCAATCGGCACCTTGTGGGTGATGTGGTCAGCGTCACGCCGGCCGCCTTTACTTCTCAGGACTACACCTGGAACCCACTCAGAGCTTGGTCCCCCTAGGAGCCAAGATCATTGAAGTTAGATTTTCTGCTTGTTTATTGCCTTTGACTCTCACACCTGCTTGACATCAATCCGTCTTAGGTCTTAAAGATGTAATATGTTTATAGAAATTACCTGCTCATACCGTTCCCACTCGCTACGATTAAGATTCGGGCACAGTAAATCATCATCATCATCAGGTGCCTTGCCGACTGGCGTGGGCGATCATGCCTCTCCATAATCCACGATCTCCTGCAGCATGTATCAGTTCCTGTGCCGACACACCTTCATGCCATGCAACAAGACTGTCAAGAATCTTCTCTCGTTGTCTTTCTCTATCCCGCCTTCCACAGATCTTTCCAGTGATCACAACGTGTTCTATTTTCCCTCTTTTTAAAACATGGCCGAAAAATGATGGCTGTCTCCTTCTGATGTCTGTGATAAGTTGTCTTCGGGCTCCCGCCTCTTTCAAAACCTCTTGGTTGCTTTTTGGCTCTCCAAGGTATTCTAAGCATTCTTCTGTAAAACCACATCTCTAAGGCCTCTAGAAATTGTCTGGCCTGCCTACCGATTGTCCAGGATTCACAACCATATGTTGCACAATAAATACTGCTGTGTGTGGAGTTTCCATCAAAATAACTACACTGGCTGCCTCTTTCTCAATTCCCATGCTGCATGCTGCAGTTCTTTATATGCGATAATTATAAATTACAAGGGGAGTCGCCGTGGTATAGTGGCTAGACGCTCGCCTGAGGATCAGAAGCTCGTGAGTTTGCGTCCTGACGGTACCAGACTTTTTATTTTTTCCAAGCTGACCTAGGCTTCCAGGTCGACGCAGCCTTGAATGGGTACCAGGTGGAGTCCTGGAAAGTAAAGGCGGCCGGCATAAAATTGATCACATCACCCACTGAGTACCGATTGGTGTATAAAATATAGGTCCAGCCATGTGTGCCCAATACGCTTGAAGGCGTTGAAAGGGGACTTTGCCTTATAAATCACAGTGTTGTTTCCTCGTCTTGCTCTTGAGGCCGACGAGTACGTTCATTAGCTTTGTATTTATTCTTGTACTTATTGGCTTACCAGTCTTTTAATTAACGTATCAGCTCCCCTGGTCGTGTTGCAGCTGTCTGTGTGTCTGCCTATCCGTCTGTCTACCTTCCTTCTTGTCCCACCTTCCATCTGTCCTTTTATCTATTTGTATCTCTGTTCATTCCTATTTCTGCCCATGTGTCATCTAGTCAACCCGTTCGTTCTCTCTGTCTCATCTCATCGTCTCATCTAATCTCATCTTGATCCTCTAGTACTTTGCAGTTTCGAGCTGAACTATCATTTACTGGAAAGCGCCCGTTTGTACGCTTCGTAAATGTGGATTACCAAGGACTCTCGTTATTCCACCTGTCCATTTTTTTTGCATGGTCGGCCTCTTCGCTTCCCGCCTGGTTTGTACATCATTGCTTGCTGTGGTATACTGTTTGCTGGCTTCTCAAAGTCCATGACGTCTGGCGTTGGTAGCCATGTCTTTCCACAACCTTCTGTCTCGTGTACTTTCAATCAACTCTGACACGGATGACCCTCAATGCCATGATGTAACACTGTCCAGCATATTTTCTCTTGGTCTCCTTCTGCCTCTCCTCCACTCCAAATTTCCTACTGTCACGATGTAATCCAATTTTCTTCCTCTCATCACATGACCAAAGAATGTAGACGTTTACTGACATCAGCGTTGTATGGCCAAACCATTTCACCTGCTTTCTTCTAGTGAAATCTAAATACTTCTGCTCGTCTGCCTAAATCTACTTCCGCTTCACCCATGACCTCACAACAAAACAGACATTATCTAGGCTAGTTATGTCTGTTCTGTGTCCCAACAGAAAATGGCGCTGGTGGTAACCAGCCTCTTGTGTTGTGCCCTGTTTGGTCCTGCCTGTGCCGTCATCAATGGCTTCATATCCTACACAGTGAGTTCGATATTTTGTTGTTGTTGTTGTTGATATTATCGCTTGAGTGTGTGTATGTTTGTGTGTGCGCGCGCGTGCAAGTTTGTAGCAGTAGTAGTTGTAGAATTTGTATGAGTATAAATAGTACTGTAGTAATTATTGCATAGTAGTAATTGTGAAATTAGTTACGGCAGCTGTAGTAGTAGTAACATAGTACTAAAAGCAGCAGCAATCATAGTAACAACAGTCATAGTAAGAGTAGTAACAACAGTAGAAGTAGAAGCAAAATTAGAAGTAACGTTGTTATCGTTTTTCTAATACAATGGTAGTCAATTCAACCTTCCTAATACCACGACCCTTTAATACAGTTCTTTATTTTGTGTTGACCCCCCCCCCCCCTATTCATCCCGCCCACCCCTTTCACCACCAATCTTAAAAAATATTTTCGTTGCTACCTCATAACTTCAATAAACATATGTTTTCTGATGGTCTTAGGCGAACTATATGAAAGGGTCGTTCGGCCCCCAAAGGGTCTCTACCCACAGGCTAAGAACCACTGTTCTTGTAGGTTGTCGTAGAAAAGTTGCTCCATTAGTTCTATGCAGGGGTAATGCAAGGTCAGGTGGCACCCAGTTTTCCCTAGCCCAGCACACACACAAACACACGCTCACACACATTCACTAACTGACTCACTCACATTTTTTGCCATTCTGTAACCGCCCGCCTCAGTGATGGATGACACTAGGCGGTCCGCATCCCCGCACGAGCCTTCCTATACCTCTAGTTCCATGATCCGTTGTATAAACCATGCTAAACCATGCTAAAGAAGTAATGTTTATCTTACTACACTTCCATATTTGAATAAATTTTTCTTAAATTCTGTGTAGGTGCTAAATATTAGACAAACACTTAATAACCATAGAAGCATACATAAAGTAAGTCTGAAGTTTATACGAACAGACAAGTGACAGTAGATGTCTCACACATTCACATTTCTTGAAGCGCCACAACCTGGCCAAGGGAGACTACCAGTGGCTGATCTCCCTCATCGTCTGCTTCCTGGCCGTCCTTGAGGTTGTCATGGCAACAGTCACATCGTCGGTCACGTGCTGTTGCTCTACGTTTAGCTCTACACAGGTAGGTCATCGTTTACAAACTGTCCATATTCTCTCTTTGAACGTCTAAAACAAACAAACAAACAATTTACTAAACTATTAAATATAAAGCTTGCGTGAAACAAAGTCGAAAGGAAAAGAAATGGCAGAGATAAATTAGGCTCTCCTTTGAACTTCTACCTGATATTATGGCTGCCAAACAAATACCCTAACAGGGCCTCAGTCCTATGCAGAATGCAGACTTCCTGCGACGAACGCATCGCGGCTAAACTAGGATCGGCTCTGAATAACGAAACAAATGCTCGAACAGGGTTTCAGTGATAGGTTAACTGCTGACCTGTTTCTGCGACTATGCCGCACCGCCGACAGTATCCCTGCGCGGCGCCGGTAGGGGGCTAAACTAGATGACTGGGACTCACGAGCAGCAGCTACCGCATCTCCTGCAACTTCCTCCAGTTCATTTGCTTGTGAGTCCCAGGCATCTAGTTGAGATCCCCATCTGCACCGATATTGTCGGTGGGGAGTTTAATCGCGTTTTCGCATGCCAAAAAGTGTAAGGACAACAACGACGCTAATCTGTGTCGGAGCGCGTGGTCTCCCCGCCATGTCTCGAAATCGTCAATGGTCGCTATTATAGTCTGCTTGTATCATCTGCAGAAACGCTCGAAATTGTCAACGGTCGCTATTATCGTCTGCTACTATCGTCTGCAGTGTTGCGTCTCTTGAAATTGTCAAGTAATCCTAGTTTTGCCGCGATGTGTTTGTCGCAGGAAGTCCGCATTTTACACACGATTGAGGCCCTGTTAGAGTATTTGTTTGGCCGCCATTATATCGGGTAGAAGTTCAAAGAAGAGCCAGAAATCAAATTATATAAATGAAAGAAAATATAGATACGGTAAACAAATAAACTGTCAGACAAACGAGTCGTAAATACAACATAAACTAAAACCAAAAAGCTAAACGGACAGAAAGTACAATTGAACGTTTTTACCAAAGTCTTTATTAGTGGAGTATTGAACACAATACAAACAGTAACTAGACAAAATGAACAGACAAGACAATAGAGCTTATAAACAGCCCCGGTCAACATAAAGCAAGAAATACATTATAGGAGAAATGCGGCTTTAAAATGGTGTATTGTGGAATAAAATAAATAAAAAAACAATTGGAAAAAAAAAAAACAGGAAATAAATATAAACAACTTTTTATTTTTATTTAAAAAATGTACGCTAAATTTATATTTTTCCCTGCAAAACTGATAACCCCAAACCTGAATAGGGAGATGTTCCATTGAGAAACGGCTGGTTTGATCACCTAAACAAGATTTTATGGCAGTAACTGAGATGATGCTTTCACTTCTTTACGTTATAAGACAAACTGTCCGACAAGATACTTAATCAGACAGACATGTAACAGACCCTCACAGCAAGCGAGATATTGTAGTTAATATAGATATTTCCAATCTTTATAAAGCTGTTGGCAACAAGCGAGAGTGACTTGATGATCTGGCTGGCACCCAGCACACAGAGAAAGGCAAAAAGAACATATAATCAGACTACGACTAGCACTGTTACACCTGGCTGCTGAAGACTAGTAGTATATACTGACACATTTTTTATGTGTGTGAATTTTCCTTATATAACCTTTGCTAATCGTGGCTCAGATGATCTTAAGAACAAACAACCCAGTAGCTGTATGACTTTATAGAAGAACAAATGTTTCTCACTTCCCGAGCGAGAGGTGCAGAATCTCCCAAATTGGCATTTTTGGCCAGAGGTGGTTTGAGGTCACCTTGCGGCTCAGTCGATCCTTGGGTCAGAGGTAAGATGAGGTTTAGTCGAGGTTTCTACAGGGCTGTGAGGGATCTTTTCTGGCTCTTAGGTCATCTATAAACGTGCTAGGCCCTACAGGGCTTCACTGAGTGGGTCAGGGTTTGCAGCAGACATATGATGACAGAAGAACAAGAGTATTCACAATACCAGCTGAGAAATATCGCTCACAAGAACAGCGACGGTTCAGTGCCTACAAAACAAAATTAAGGAAAACCTCTTACTGGGCCGCAGCCTGGAATCTATGTTTTGTCCATTTCCACTATAATTTGTCTATCTTGGTATCCGTCACTAAAATAATAATTTCTCCGCTTAGAATCGACGTACAGGCTTCAATGAGGTATCTATGGATTTGTAATTTTAATCTCTATTTATCTATCATGGTTTCATAAGTAAAAACTTAACATATACAATTTTACTATTATCCCTAGTCTTACATGCCAAAACGTTTTTTTTTAAATACTGTAATAGAGCCACTGTGAAAATGCCCCCCCCCCCCCACACACACACACACACACTCACACACACACAAATATGCAAGGAATTGTGCCTTATAAACTATTAAAACGAGGACTCAACTCTGTGGCTCTGATTATTCTTGTAAACAAATCTTAATATCAAAGCAATGTTTCCCCGTTGTAAATTTGAACAAAAAAGACACAGACAATAGATTGCACAATTTATTGCCGGGCATATTTCGCTGTATCTTGTCAGTTATAAAGGATTCACTTATTTGCTTCATTTATATAATTGTTACTGTAGTATGCACCTGACGAGATACAGGGATAAATGCCAGGCAATAAATTGTGCAATCTATTGTTTGTGTCTTCTTTGTTCGAATCTTAATATGGTGATTTGATTCTGTTCTTGATCTCACGTCGTCACCCATCAGATATCATTGAGTCGCATAGATAATTTTTTTCTTCCTTGCGTTTACCAGCTGTACACTCTGGCGGAGAGTTCTGGTTGCTCGTCCACTACTGAACTGCAGTCCTGCTCCAGAACTTGAGTGTTGCGTGTGCATCATTTTTACAGATCTCATACTCTTGAATACAGACTGTTGGTTCCTTGCCTCTCCGGCAGATGCACTCCGACTTCAAAGGAAGCTTCCCAATTAGTTGACTCTTACGACATGCTTTTGGGGAGGCAGTGGGTCTTTTCTTGTTTTCCCCACAATGGGGCCCCAGAACCCACACGGGGGGCATAGATAATGACACGCCAGAACACATTTTGTGTCTGTGCATGTATTGTTTATCAAATATTTGTTATTCTGGGAGGCACCATGAACTACAAGAACTTTCACAAACATTTTCCAGGTCCATGTTTTTGTCAACCCACGGAAACTAAGCAGGAGCGGAAGTGATGCCTCCATTGTCACGAAATCCTCAACTGTTTCCGAGAAAGTGGACAAGAATCACTCTCGTGTTGTCGTCAGCAACTTCGGCAGAAGTCACAACAAAAAGAGAATCAACTTAATCATCCCCAGAAATATCGCTGACACACCTGTTGCTATTTCTAGGGATCTGAAAGACGGCTGGACGCAGGTGGCAAAAGTCAGCACCCGCACAGCAAACGTTGGAACGAGTGAAAGTAATTTGGTACAATTATTTAACCAAACACCAGTCAAAGACACGAACCGTTTCCCGCAACAGACCACTATTTCAGTGATCAAGGATAGACCACAGTTACTACCAAAGACTAATATTACACCAGTCAACGTCGCCGGTAACGGGGATTCTCTGCTTCGACCACATCGGACTCCAGTCCAGAGTCTTAGGGACACCAACGTTTCACAACGGTCAGATAGATCGTTCGTTCAGGAAGTTATAATGAGAACGCCTATACAGTTGATAAGCAGGACACCTGACACAAACCTCGGCATTGAACCTCTTGGTCAACCGGCCAAGGAAACATCGGTCAGGACTGTACATCCTTCTCTATCTTCCCATCAGTATAACAGCCCTCCAGTCAAGGAAGCATTGGTCAGGACTGTACATCCTGATCTACCTTCACATAAGTATCACAATCCTCCAGTCAAGGAAGCATCGGTCACAACAGTTCAGTCTAATCTATCCTCACATCAGTACAACAGCCCATCGATCTCAGAGGCAAGGGAAGGCCCGTCTTCACAAGGGATGACGTGGACGCCAGACAGACATCTGAGAAGCAAGCCTCCATCTCTGCCAACTAGACCATCTAGTACAGATCAGACAGTGCAGCCCACTTCAAGTTACCTGACCCTCAAGAAATTGGCCCTCCCAGACCTGTAAACGTAGTTGTAGGCGCAGTCAGCAGGGGCGCCGAAATCGGAGGAAAGAGGGGGAGAAGTGGGAGAGGGAGGGGGGTAGCGGTGGTGTTGTGTGGACCTTGAGCTCCATCTTCAAGGAAAATTCTAGGATTTAAGTCAACCCTTCACTCCGCAATTTATAAAGCGGCTAAGCTACTCACCCCAGCTATTTGAGAAAAAAAATATCTATCTATCTATCTATCTATCTATCTATCTATCTATCTATCTATCTATCTATCTATCTATCTATCTATCTATCTATCTATCTATCTATCTATCTATCTATCTATCTATCTATCTATCTATCTATCTATCTATCTATCTATCTATCTATCTATCTATCTATCTATCTATCTATCTATCTATCTATCTATCTATCTATCTATCTATCTATCTATCTATCTATCTATCTATCTATCTATCTATCTATCTATCTATCTATCTATCTATCTATCTATCTATCTATCTATCTATCTATCTATCTATCTATCTATCTATCTATCTATCTATCTATCTATCTATCTATCTATCTATCTATCTATCTATCTATCTATCTATCTCTCTCTCTCTCTCTCTCTCTCTCTCTCTCTCTGTCAGTCTGTCTGTCTGTCTGCCTGCCTGCCTGCCTGCCTGCCTGCCTGTCTGTCTGTCTGTCTCTCTGTCTGTATGTCCGTCCGCCCGTCCCTGTCTGTCTCGCAGAAATGCGTTTATAATTATTTAAAAAAAAAAAAAATATCCAACATTCTTGTCTGTGAGACTGTCAGACTGGAGGATGCAGATTTGGCGAATGTTGGACTAGGAGATGACGACGATGAAAGTACTGGGAAATAGAGGAATGAAAGTTGATAGTCTTTCCCCCACCCACCCGCTTGGAATAAAGAATGAAAGATTGCCGCCCTAAAACATAATGAACCTCTATTATAATGCAGATCCCAGACACCCTATTCAACCGTATACAAATCATACCTAATGGAGCACCTAATGGTTACTACTTTTTACCCTGAAGTCCCAATAGTTAAAATCAAGTCGCCAAGCAGAACGCAAACCGTCCAGTTGGTTCAGTTCTTCTCATTTGTTCGTCGTGGTGCCCTTAGCCAAAAGACTAATGTTGAATTAGGAATCAACATCACAGCAATAGGGACACTCTCTAAAACGCTCCGTTCCAATATTTAGCAGCAAGCGAAGAGTTCCAATTCCGATGGCACCAGTAACTATCTGACTGTTTATCCGTCTCGCCTTTGCCTTGAGTGTTGAGGGTCGGCCATGTCCCCTGGTAACTCCTCGCAGCAACATTCTTCTTATTTGTGCCTCCGCTCTGTCGCTCCGAAAGTGCCCTCACAACGTCCAGCATATCATTCATCAGTTCACCACCGCGTGGTGCAGAACCAGTCAGTCTATCTGCCTGCTAGTTTCGCAACACACCGGCAATACCTTGAGAAAATATCCAAAGGACGCTAACTACCCGGGGCCTCTAAAGCGATTCTTTCCACTCTACACGGAGCATGCCTGTCTCCACCTTTCCCAACATTCTCTGCGAGTCAGTTACAATCACGGCATGTGTGTACAGCTGGTTCTCACGCCAGCACAAGGCAGCAGTGACTGCCTCCACCTCCATTCAAAAGGACGAGAGTTGACTAAACAAAGACTAACCACAGAACAAACACAGACCAACCCCAGACCAATGCTTTCGTCGTGTACAGATAAAACTTCCGTCCATAACACCACTATCATTTTTTTTAATGTCTTCATCATCATAAGCAAAACGCCCCTTAGTATTACCACGTTGGGACAGCAGCAGCAATATATCTCTACACACATAAACACCTAGGCACACACAGAAACGCACAGACGTCCACATGACAAAATTTGTTACATTTATTACATAATGTTTCTGCCTTGAAAAGCATGTTTTGAGTTTTTTTTTTTTTTTTTTTTTTTTTTTTTTGTTATGCTAACTTTACCTTATTTGTTTCCTTTCCAGTCAATAATACATGTTTTGCTTTATTTATTTTATTTTCTGTCAATATTACAAGTTTTGCTTTATTTGTTTCGTTTCACGTCAATAATAATAGTTTTACCTTATTTGTTTCATTTCCCCTAATAATACTTGCTTTGCTTTACTTATTTCGTTTACCGTCAATAATATTAGTTTTACCTTATTTGTTTCGTTTCTCGTCAATTATACTAGTTTTGCTTTATTTGTTTCGTTTCCCGTCAATAATACTAGTTTTAACTTTTTTGTTTCATTTTCCTTCAGTAATATTGATAAGAAATTCACGAAGATGTCGACCAAGATTTTGACATTTTAATGTAAAACTTGATTTTTTAAAAAAAGA